AACCGCTACACCATGCAGTGCAAGACACGCGGCATTCCGTCTGCCAGCTACGTGCTCCGTTGTCAGACCCGTGATATTTTACTTCACTGCCCCCTCTCAGACCTCTCACTGTGGCAGGGCGAACGAGTGCACCCTACAAGGCCACCCAACCCTTTGCTGGACAAGAAAGTAGCATAGCGGTAACGAATAAGGCTAAAAGAGCAGAAGGAAACCTGTACTGGTACTTGGCGGTCCTTATACACCTATCTGTGCATGTCTGACTTACTCTGGTTGTCTCACCTTCATGACCCACCATCTTTAGTAAGTATATGATAGGATAGGATGGAGCTCCACATTTAATGTTCCTTCTCGACAAGACGCGGATAGGCCTGACAGGCACTCTCAATCCGAAACCCGTGAGCGATGTTCGATTCTGAGGCCCCTCTCTCTGCCCCTCTTCGCTTCTCCCCCTCGCGGAAAACCACATGGGGGTTTCCGAAAACAGGGGACCCTAATATAGTGCCATATATAGTAGGATCCTTATTATAGGACCCCAAAATAAGGTACCCTAGTACCCTAAGTTTCGGAAAGTCCCACATCACCTAAGTTCTCCATCAACCAGCCTCTTTCAGGATGACCTTCTCTGTTGGGGAGGCCCCGAATTTAGGGAATCGCCTGGTAACAGAAGCACCCGTGGCACAAGGCTTGCCATCTCGGGCACTTTGGTCCCGAGGCAGAGTAATTCACACTACGTCGGGCTGGCTGTAGGAGGCAGCAGCCACAGGCAATCTGCGCCGGTTGATTCAATGTTCATCGTATTTTTTTCTTCTCCAATTGTCAGCTATGCAAATGTAGCTATATAGGTGCCTCGTAACCTAACCACTGTACGCGCCTGGTAACCCAACCCTGGCACGGAACATTCTACGTATCGCCACCCATCAACTTTCGGGTTCATGGAGTGCAACCTGCCTTTCGTGCAACATCTACAGATGTTAGTCGGTGCTTCTTAGGCAATGCGCACACTTCGACAAGTGGGATCTGCAGCTGTAGCCTTTCAAGCACGAGCCTCCTTTCCCGTGAGCTGTCTGTGCGGAGGCACTTGGCAGGAGAAGCTGCGCTTGGGATGATTTTAACTCGAAATAGGGTCCTCGACTTTCTCCGGCCAAGGTCGACGCTGCACAATCTTCTTTGCCACACAACCTCCACTACACGACTGCACCTGAGTGGGGTGCATACGCTGCTCTATGTGGCTTGGGGTAGGGGTTGCATCAGACCTAGTCTCCTCCGGCTTGGGGTGCTCAGGATTGAATCCTCAACCCTGCAAGAGTCGGAGAACAGGATTAAACTGGGATGGTAAGGTACGCTTTTGCGAATTGCCTTTGCCGTGAACCCCAACGCCAACATGAGGAAAACATTGCCATGCCAAGCTCTGCATCAGGAACATGGCCAGGAATCAGTTGGGTCTTCTAAAGGCGCACCCCACTCAGCTTCAGGTGATGTAGTTTGATGCTACAGGTCTGACCCTCTCCGTTCACCCCTCTGAGGGATGTAGAAGACCCGTAGCCTGCAAACATCCGTGGCACTAGTCAGAGGTAGTCCGGGGGAGTCTTAATGATTAGAATAGGGTTGTGGGGTATATTCAAGTATAACTATAAGAAAGAACCCCTAAGATAGTATAGGCAATTATTAAAGCCCCTATCTGAGTGGGTTTCCGAAGCCGTCGGAAGCTTTGAAGCCCAAGGGTTTGCAGGCATAGCAGGAATTCTGGTGCATGGTCTCTGTGAAGACGGACATGAGCAGGATCTCTGAAGATCCACACCATCCAAAACCCAAACTGAACCCTAGACCCGGAACCCCGTTCGACGACGGGAACGCCGGATGGGGAGCAAAACAACCGAAGCCTCCGAACGTTACAGCGCGATGGTCTTCTTGGTGCTCAGCTTGCCCAACCTTGGAGGGAGCATAGTGGAAGCATGAGAAGGGATACACTCCGGAAGCCCACAATGGGTTTGTTCGATGCTATACTGCCGGCAGCGAGGTGTCACGGGATGGTGGATCGTTTAGCAGACTGACGGAGTGTTTCGGACCCACACTCAGACATCCAGGCGTTGACGGAGTGTTTGAGGAATTCGGTAAACCCGCTGATTCAAGTATCTTGTGTTGTGAATTGCAGTACAGCAAAGCCCTTTGGCATAATGGCGCCATAGCAGCATTGGAGTGCTGGGATTGGTTCAGGTTTTTTGCGGAAAAGATTAACATAGCCTGTAAATGAGTAGTCAGAGCTGGAGATTTTGGCCGTCCGAGAGACTGGGGCAGGCTGCTGCCTCGGAAGAAGACGGAGATAGATTCAGCATGTAGCCGGAGTCAATGAGTTTCGCTGCATACCAGTCCATGTCTATAGGGCTATAAGAGGCATGGTTGATCTTGCTGCTCTTGGAGCTGTCCTTCGATTCTTGCCGGCTACTGCCGCACTCGTGCGAGGTTCATCGTCCAGCACACTAGGCCACTAGGCGTACAGTGAGATGTCATGCTCGCGGCAGTTCTAATCGCGTGGCAGGTGCATTGACATTCGACCCGACAGTTTCTGAAGATTTGAGACTCAATCCTTCTCCGAAAAGTGGGGCCGGAGCCGTTGCTGCAGCTTCACACAAACGGACGTCAAATTCTCGTCCACCTCCTCCAGGCAGTGGCCAGGCGGAAACAACACTACGTCCTTTGTATACTGGCCAGCGCATTATAACTCCACGGGGACGGCGCTAAAAGAGCAACAGGAGCAACAAGCAAGACCAACAGCATCACCACCACCACGACGACGACTATACTACTTCCACTACTACTACGACTACTGCTACTGCTGCGGCTGCTGCTACTGCCGCCCTACTGTTGCTGCTGCTGCTACTACTACGACGACGACGACGAGCCTAAACAGCACCAGCAGCAGCAACAGCGGTGCAGGACTGATGTTTATATACCTTCTTTTCCGTTGCTGCTGATTTTGGTGCCGCACTGTCACTACCTGCCATTGCTATTGATGTTGTTGTTGCTGCGGGGGCTGTGGCGGTACTGGTGGTCTTCATTGCTGCAACTTTCCCTGCTACTCGTGAAAATGCTGTTGCAGTGCCAGCAGCTCCACGACTGCTTTTGCCATTGTCTTCTGCTGTTGCTGCCCGCGCTCCCTCTGCCGCTAAACATGTTCTTACGGCACTGCTTGCAAGCAGTGCCGTTGCACACTGCTTCATACACTCGTTGGTTGTCATACACGAGTGGACAAGCAGAATTCAGGCTTCAATGTGTAGATTTTGGTGTCACGTGGTTTCCGCAGGTTGCAGCACTGTGGGTGGAGGCATATGCACGGCAGCGGCTGGATGAGATAATTTTTTACTCAGAGGCAAGGCATGGCAAGGCAAAGCGCAGCAACATTGAAAATACACGAGTTCAAAGTTGGCCATGTCAAGCGCTGAAGTATGCATCGGAGGTGAGCGTGTGATTGCTCGGACTCGCGTGAGCGGCGCAAACCAAGCACTGGCAGAGACGATGACCTTCCTATGTAAACCCAAGGCCTGAACCCCAGAGCCCAAGCCCTAGAACCGAAGCCTCCTTGTCCCTGAACCGACTTCATTCGGTCGGGCCTGGTTGTGGTGTGCATTGGGCGGTCCAATGGCCTGACCGATCTGGATCACTGGTCGTGACTATGACAAGCAGCAGACACGGTCGCCGATAGAAGTAAGAGCCATCAGCTGCTTCGTGTGCACTTCTTGGTGTTGCCGCTTGAAGCTTGGGACTTCGAGTTGGGGTGAAGTCCTCAATGCTTGGCAGGGACCCTGTGGCGGTCAGGATTTGCAAGTCACGCTGAACAATGGCAGCCGAAAGCAAAGTCAGACGCCACACAACGATCGTAAAAAAAAGATGAGTCCCCATCATAACCATCACTTCTTCTGCTTTCTCGCCTCATCACACTCCACAGCACTACCAGTAGCGGCAACAACATAATGAGGTTAAGCCAATGTTGAATCGACACAATCCAAAAAGACAACTTACAAGGACGTTTCCCGCGACACCTGATCTGCCTTCTCAACAACACCTCGCTTGTGAAACTAGTCCCGGACGAAATAAATCAAGTTCCCACTTCACTTTGCAAGTCCCCGCCTTCCAGAGCAGAGAAATTACACAACAAACCCTGCATGAAGAGTAAAAACCTGTGCAAGCGTGTGGCAGCCATCTTTCTCGCTTTGCCGCGGCGGGCGCGCTGCTGAAGCAGCTACAGATTAAAGTGCCAAACAAGGACGCTGCAGCAGAAGAGCCAGATTACACTAAGCACTCTCGTTGGCAAGCATCACACTCTAAGTTTTGCTGCAGCGCTGTCCTTGAAATCAAGTGCGACACCGCTACAATAATCGATAGGGATTGTGGGCTGTCGTTCCCTTGCAGCATGCGGTCTTTGCCTAGATTTCTTTCATGAAAGCTGTCACTGTAAGATTCGACAGCTTGTTCTTAGACTTGACTAAACCTTGCGGTCTTGGCCTAGGGCGAGGGGTGACGGCGCTTGGGAGCCTTGTTTCCCCCTGAAGCCCTTCTTTCCATCTGGTCTGCGCAAACCAAGAAACCATGCATGCTAAAATCTGCTGTCAATCCAATCTGCAACTCGGGAAACCTCGGTCCCCACTCCCTAACTAGCAAGGGACACATTACTTAGGAGGTGAAGGATTTAGCACTACATGGTTCTCTCTGTTGCTATCTCTATACTACGTATGCATGTACGAATGCATTTTTGTGTGTTTTGTGAGGTTGCGCGCGCGTGTGTGTGGTTTGTGTGCTTTGCGTGTTTGCGTCCGTGTTTGTTTGTTTCTTTGCTCGTGGCTTATGACCATATTACCCACACTAAGTCCGCGTTTATACCTAGAGGATCCAAGAAGTACAGCCACCCCAAAAGACCCTTCTCCTGAACTTTGTGCTGTTCAGCAAAGCTTGGACCCTAAATGAACTGTCGTTGCAACAGGCTCCTGACCCTATAGATCTAGAGGTCAGGGGATTGGCTCCCCAATCTCGCCAGCGCCCTGCCAACTCGAGTCCACATGCTTGGAGGAGAAGATCGGCAGGCGGTTTCCTCGGCTGGAGACAAAAAATTCGGCGTTTCTGCTTGTTTCTGCCCCCTGCCGAGCTTAGGATTTGGAGCTGGCTGCCCCACGCTCTGTAGATGTTGGGCAGTCCAAAGTTCGGCGTTCGACGGCGTCATCGCGACAGGAAACTCATCTCAAAGCTTCCTTTTAAAGGGCTCAAGGTACCCAAGCCGGCTGTGGCATTGAAGCCGAGCACATACGAATATGTCCTAGTCGACACTTCCAACTAAGTCGGACAGTTCGCGTCCCGCACTTCGAGCCGTTCAGAGTCAACTTCACAGAAACTTCGGCCTAGCCTGTATAGTATAGAACAAGCCAGACCGGCTCAAACCAAAGTTGGGATCCCATCGAAGTGAGACAAACCCTCTTCTAAGCCAAGTTGCTCATGTGAACACGGTCGATTTCCCACAGCAGGTCCTGCAAGAGCCCGCGCTACAAACATGCGCGCTATGCTTGATGCTTGGTCACTTGTTGTTCCCGACAACAAGAACCTTCCTAAATAAGTGCCCAAGCGAAGACCGCTTGCGCAGAATGCTGTCACACGAGATCTGGAATTTCTTTTGCACGCATCCTCGGGGCAGTTTAGCTTGCGGGCAACGAAGTTCACCCATGTTCTACTGAGCTACTAGCTCACTGCACGAGTCAAATAACCACAAGTCATAATGCCCCGTCATTGCCCTCATCTCATCCCGGCCGGTCCCTTGGAAGGGGGTCTTTGTTCTGGAAAAAGCCTCGCAGTGGCAGAGTAAGCAGTCGATGTTGGACAAAGGGAAGGCCGATTCATGAGACCCCTCCGAGACAAATCTGGGGACCCGAGGCTCAGCGACCGAAGCCATTCCGACCCCTCAAGTCCTAAAGAGCGAGAGGGCATAATGTTCGCAATCCTTGGAAACCTTCTTGATCGCACTCTGGCCAAGACCGGCAAACTCCCAAGAAACCAGTACCCGGCAGCGGGCGAACAAGGCACACCCACTACTATCACCATTACCACCACTACACTGATGTTGCTTTTGCTGGTGCTCCACTTCTTCTTCTACCCACTTATGTGCTGCTGTGGGAGCACGGGGTTCGCAAGCTGAGCGTCGAAGGTCTTCCTCCAGCTGGGCCATGTTGCTAGTTCCCAGTAGCACCTCGGTTTTGCGGGGCTGCGGAGCGAAAAACACCGGAAAAAAGCGAGTTTCGATATTCATGGCATAGAAGCCCTTGTGCTTTCTACTGTGCGTGCACTTAGGAGCCCTGAAAGTTGGCCGAAGCACACGAGACAACAAAAAAACCTGCGCCCTGTCTGGATGGACCCGAAACCCAACCTTCTGCCCAGACACCGTCGTGCAGCCACGGCGGCTGCGGCACCATCGGAGGCTAAGCTCCTGCTAATACGCAGGCACCCAAATGCTCCGGGCTTCCTTCAGCTGAGAAATGTAATGCTGAGGACCTTGTCTTCAAGAGGCCAAGAATTGCCAAGAAATTCGCGGCCTAAGCACCAAGTGCTCGCTTGAAGGCTTTGGCCGCTCTATAGCCGATAGTTGTAATTCAAAGCTACTCAGGAGTGAATCCATGCAACCTCCTCTCCGAAGGCATGCTTCAATTTCGAGATCCGACTGTCTGTGACAGATTGGCAGAGCAAACTATAAGTCCACAGCCCCCACTAGGCACGGTGGACACAAGAGCTTGTCAAGCACAACTGCATTCCGGCAAACATCTGCAAACAAATTTTGAGAAACGGCGAATGTTGGCATTCTTTCAGACCCATCGCCGTCGCACACCTTCCAGTCAAACTACGTACTTTGGGAAAAATTAAACTGTGATAACACACGCCCTTAACAGACAACGAGATTGCGATGCCTGAAAGCGGGTGGAGAACCCGAAATTCCCAACCAAAACCACGCGACGTCCGTCAGGGAGATGCCCGCCCGCTTCGCGAGTGCAGAGTAGGCCGCAATGGCCTACATAGGCAACTTGGCACTCCCAACTGGCGCTTACTGACCCTCCCTACTTCTAAGCAGGAGCGTGCGATCCGAGGCGAAAGTGCCCCGAAACACGATGCCTCCACCGCTGCTTCGGATCGATAACCTTCGGTTGCTGTGAAGGAACTTCGCCAGAGACCCCGATGTTGACCCAAAGAGAAGTTCCTAGGTCCCAGATTCCCACGCAAACCTGTGAGGCACAATTGGAGTGCAAGAGGTTCCGAGGGGACTGTTTTTATACGGGGTCTAGGCATCTGAGGCACCGACTGCGCCTTGTAATACCAGCCCGAAAGACAAACCCCTGCAACCTATTGTAGGTGACGCCGACGCCCGACCCTAAAAGCTTGTAAAGCCCGCAGTAGAGCGTTTGCCTGCCTACTTCGGGTCGAATTGTGGGGGCCACACGCACTCTGAGTCCTCTCACATCCTACGTTTCCTCCCCTCAGCCCTGAAACCCGAAAGCCGCAAGCTGAACACCCATGTTCTCCAACAGCTTCTCTCTGGGTCACGGTAGAGGGTGCCGCCCCAGCCGTAGGTGTCCATGCGGCCGCGGGGGTTCTGGGAAAGAGGGGCATCAAGTCCATCTTGGGAATCGAGATGAACAGCCAAGACCAGGAATTTACAGTCAGATCCCTAACAACATCCTGGTGTCCACAGCAGCTGTAAAAACAATCGGAGCTCGGGCGCTTCTGAGAATCAAGCTGATACCGAAGAGAGAGTGCTCCATGCTTCATCACTCAGTGGTTCGTTGAGCTTCAGGCGTGGTTTACTGCATGAAGCACTGGGTTCGTGTTTTGCCTATTTGCTGTTGACCATCAAAAACCTACAGCACCCTCAGTGCACAAATGTGGTGGACGCAGATAAACGTAAGGAAACTGTTGATGTGTCTGTGGCCCAAAGACCAGAGAATGAATGTGAGAGCCTTGCGAAGAAAGAATGCATTCAGCATCATGAGCACATCGAAATACCGAGAGGCTAAGGACATAAAGTGGAACTCGGCAAGTCACCCCGGCAGAAGTCAACACGGACAGGCAAAACAGAAGCAAACAGATCTTAGTTTCGTACCGCGAAGTACATGAGGGATTTGGCCGTGTTGACTAGGAAGGAGTCCTCCCAAGTACAGTGGAATCAATGGATCCCGAAGGAGATGAGTGTGTCAACAGGCTCGGGCTTTGAGGCTTTTGAACTTGCCCAAGCACACCTGTAGAATGCAGAGCGAGATGCTAAACTAACGAGTGTGCGCCATCTTGTTAGAGAGAAGCAAAAGCATTGAAAGCATACTCTCTCCCTCTAACATTCTCGACAACGCAGAGCCAGAATCTGGGTCATTGCAGGTACTGTAACAAGTTCTGAGTGTAAGGGTCATTCAGGTGCAAAGTGCGCGACAGCACAACACCAACACCAGCACCAGCAGCAGCAGCAGCAGCAGCAGCAGCAGCAATAGCAATAGCAGCAATAACAACAACGATCAGAACGATGATCAGAACGACGACGACGACGGCAACAGCAACAGCAACATCAACCCCAAAACGCCGCCATCACCACCGCCACCGACCGCAAACCGCCACCGCCACCACCACCACCACCACCACAAGAGCAAGAGCAACAGCAACAGCCATCATCCTATCTCCACCGTCCCGACGCCAATGCCGACAACACTGCCACGACCGCCGCCGCGACCACCACAACCACCACCCGTCGTACGATGGCTGAATGTTGGCTTCAGAGCTGACAATCATGAGTGCTTATTTTTCCCACAGTCCCGAAGACCCAATTCCAGGATGCACTGATTTGTCGGCTGTTGGGGGAGGGCCAACTGCAGTTCGACTACAATTCCTACAATCTGCTAGTGACTGCAAGGCTACAACAACTGTACCGAAAAAGCAGGGCCCCCCGCGATGATGGACGCAAGGCGAGGATGGTATCGCAGACGAATCGCCATAATCACCACCACTGCCGCTGCTGCTACCACCATCACCGTCATCATCAATGCTACTCCGCTACTCGTGCCATCTCCCTGACCACCACCTGCTTCCACCACCTTCCCACTACCACTACCACCATCAACATGGCAATCGACGTCATCATTTGTCACGATGTCTCACTCGCTGCTTCCATCCTCATCACAGTCATGAACACTGAATACCGGAACCAATCAACAGCACAGAAGCAGTGAGCTAGACCCGTGTTACCCAAAAGACCATGAACATCCATGAACTTCGTGGAGGTTCCTTCATCAACTTCTCCGCCGCATCCTCGGAGGGGCTGTCCAAGGCGGCGGGCTTGTCCATGTATTTGCCTTTTGACGTCTTCGGGTCTCGACGCTCGCGCTCGCGCAATGCAGGCAAAGCTTCTGATTCTGGTTTTCGAGGGGTTCTTACCACACTTTGCGTCTTTCGGGACTTGTAGAACATAGCCGAGACCCGTGCTGGACACTCCAAGGATTTCTGCGATCCAAGATGTAGGCATGCAGTGAAGAGCCTAAAGGGTTGAACTGCGCAATACCGAAGTCAAGGCCTTTCGCCGCAAGTTTCAAGGCAACGAGCCGACAGGTTCGACATCGGACGAACAAAAACCTCAACTGTCGGAGCCATAAGTTTGTCAGGCTGGATTGATGTGTCAGGGTCCGGCACATGCCCTACCAAACTTGGGGGTTGAAATCTTTCGTCTGGTGGGGTTTACCTGGTGAGCGAACAGGTTACGAATCGTTCGGCCGATAGAAATCCGTGTTGTCTCCGAGTTTGCATAGTCCGGCACCCATGTCAAACTTCCACAAATGGGAGACCCCGCATAGCCGCAAATAAGGCTCCCAATTACAGTGGGCCCTCCACAAGGTATCCCCACAAAATCGCTAAATCTCAGGATGCTTATTTCCCATTGCGCCTGTACCCCAGATCCTAAGCCTCAAACTTCTGAAGCCCTGGCTCTGAACCCTAAAACCCCAAAGCCCCAACAGCTTCAAAACACACTCTTCACTGAGTCGCCTGTCAGCATTCCCCCGGCCAGTGCGTTGTAGGCCATGAAGCCAACCTTAGCAGCTCTGAACTTCTGAGGCTAGCGCTCGCAGAAAACCACTGACTTTTGGCTCCCGCATGGCAGTCCCGAGGGTGTACATGGCAGGTATTCCGTCATGTTCAAGGAGTGCAGACTCAAGCATGCATAAGAAAAGCGCCATACTAATAATGCAGACTCGGGGTACATGCTATCATTTCGGATTGGCTTCTTCTTGACAGGCAAGGCGAGGGCTCTCGAAAGCGTCTACCAGCAGAACCCAAATCTTGAGCAGAAAGATAGGCTCATCTGAAAGCAAGCAGCGTTCTCATGGACCGGAGACGCTGCCTCAAACACCTGAGCTGCGTTCAATCGCTGACCGCAAACTACTCCCAGGCCAACACCGAGAGAACAGGAGTAGGGTGTTGTTACGTTCTATCTAGACCTGGTAGCCACCGTGATGCGTCAGCATCATGATCATAACAAGACCGACCAAACCTGTGTCCAAGGTGCGCATTATTGTTGCGAGGCCCTCCTCCTATCCTCAGGCTCTCAGAACTTTCAATATTAAACCCTGCTCACGTGGCCAAGCTGCTCCGTTTTCCTCAGACTTCCGATCGATCATGCTGTAGTCACCTGCTGCGTGCGACGGGCTTCAACAATTATTTCTTATTCTTTGCTAGTCTGATAAATATGTTTAATGTTACTCATCTATGTGTGCGGCAGGCGCCGTTGCAGCCTGGGGGGGTGGGCCTAGACCACCGGTGGTTCTGCGCGCGGTTAGTCACTGGAACGTTGGTGTGTTCCAGGTCTCGGCTAAGAAATCTCGTCATGTTCGCATGTGCTAGCACATCTGTCTACCGATACCTAGCGATTTTATCCAGGACTACTACTTACAAGGACCCTAAATCCCTGAACCCTGCAGGTTTTCGCGGGGGGGAAGGAGGCTCTAATCGTCGCAGATCGTCGCAGGAGCGGCCTTGGAATGAGATCGGCGGCGGAACGCCAAGCCGCTTGGCGGTCTCACAGCACGCAGTGAGGCCGAAGGCATTGTCATTGCCTGATGCTGTAACTCGGCGTTTACGATGCGGGATTGAGCAACAGAACTTGGCAGGAAAGTCCAGATAGATGACATACGTATTTCTGACAATCACGAACTGAAGTCAAAGCGACAGGTCCCATGCAGTAGGAGGTATCGGCAGGGAGGTTCTGCGCAAACTTCGAACACTTGGAGGTTCAGGGTACGACATGACCTAACTATAGTGGCGTGTACCATTGGTGTCCCCGTATTGGAACTAGCACACGGCCATTTGGGTTTTACCAAGTCGATATCTTCGTTCTCAAGAATTGGGCTTCTCGACAGTGCTTGCAGGTGATCACTAGCAAGTCATGCCCGGAAGTGAGATCAGGCTGAGAAACAAGCATTGGGGGATGCCAGGGCGATGGTCGTTTACCCAAACACATCAGATCCTGGCCCCTGCCATGTTGAACAACTTCTCGCAGCTGCACTGTGCAACGGCTATCTTGGCGGCGCAAACGAGACGAGCATGCAAAAGCCATGGTAAGTTGATGAGTTGCCAATGACAGCAAGCCCGAACTGCTAAAGAACCACTCATCAATCCAAAATCACCGAAACGAATTCCTCCGATCCAAGTTGCATAAGCCCCATCCTCGAATCTTGCCTCAGCCACTGCTGCAAGAAAGAGAAGGCGTGGAATGCAAAGGGAAAAGCGGGATTCAGCGAAGTAGAAGCTTATGCCTTCTCCAAAAGCACAGTTTGGTACCGGCGCCGTGTTATGTTTTTTTGAAAAAGTGACTGCGGCTCTCCAAGCCCCGTGTGGTAAGTAAGTGCTGGGGGGGGGGGGCCTAGGAGGTGACGAAGCCTAGACGAAGTGTCTGCATAGCAGCAAGATGTATCTAGCACAAGCTCCAATCGCAACAGCCACCCAGAGCAAGCTCGGTCATAGAACAAAACCCAACAGCACTCATTCTTAGAAACACCATACCTTGATCCGATTCACCGTTTTGCACTCAAGCTGAAGCCGTATTCCGGGTGGCCCTCTTTGATCAGTGCGCCCATCGAAGAGCACAGCTCTTCAAAGGAGGCACCCTCCATTCCCATTCCGCCAAACCTTGGATCATGACTCTAATCTCGCTCTCTCTCTCTCTCTCTCTCTCTCTCTCTGCCGTTGCATCCAGAGGGTCTAGCAGCGCCATGACTTTAATGTGCCTAGCATTTTCATCAATCTTTGCTTGGGAATCTCCCGGCTGGGAATATGTGATCGGCTGTCGTAGGGCCCGGCTCAAACATCACACTTGGAGCAAGAAGAACTCTCTCGAACAACTTCCATCAAACAAAACCCGGCTGCATCAAATTCCGCTGACAGAACCCAGCTGAACTCGACTCCTGCCATGCCAGCAAGCTGCTCCTCCACAGAATAATTGTACGTGAGGCTCTGGCCCCAGTTTGCTTGTGGAGAGTAGCGCGACGGCCAGTGTGTCTGGTACACATCGATGTAGTCGGTGCCCAATCTTTTCAGACTTCCCTCGCAGTCGTCTCCTTAGGGCAGTTCTCCCTTTCATGCGGCGGAGAATGGCAGGGCATGCATCTCAACTGCGCGGTCGGATCGATTGCCCATTCAGACAGATCAGGCTGCGAGTCCACCCAGAAACCTGCATGTACCAAAGCAAAACGACAAGTACAAAACCAACTTCCCCTGGAAGCGAGGTCGCCACAGCCATGGCTCCCAATCAAACGAGAACCAAAACAGAGCATGACCTGTGAAAAGTTCTTTTGACAAAGATGCACTGCAGACTGCACCAACGTGACAGAAGCAGCCAAGACGTCAAGCCAAAGAGCAAGCCATGTTGAACTGACATGAAAGCTTATGTTCCACGGTTTTGGGGTACCTTACCGGCGAGTATGAGGGTTCTGGCAATGGTTCCGACATGAACCTGGTCCGGCTGTCCAGTCCATCAATAACGACAGACGAAAAGTTGAAGAAGACAGGTTGCTCCACGCACGCGTTTAACGTAAACCTTCACCTTGCCCTTCTTTCAGGAGAGCGAAGTCCAGTTTCCCGTAGTCGCCAATGACAAGGTCTGCAAAGTGCTCTTAGCTGCAACGTGCTCCTTGCTGGAAGACTCTTGTCTCGCCAAGGCACGGATGTTTTTCGGGGTTACATTGAAGCCTCCCGTAATCTTGGTCGCAATGACCTGGGCTTCGAGATTCCGTGCAGTTTCCGGTCTTTACGCTGCCTGCCAAAAACTATAGGAAATCCGCTGGCGAAAGGGTTTCCAAAACCGACATGACCCAATGGGCCGTGTATTTTGCCACAGTATGCCGTGCCGCAAGCTGTCAACAGCAATAAGCCATCATGCAGCATTATGCTCTTTCTTAGGATACTGGTTGAGAAAATGCGATGGGCTCTGCCCTTCAGCCACTTGGCGAGTTTGCGCCGTCGTCCGGCTTCTTTGGCCATCCACCTGCCTCAGCTTGAAGTAGAATCACAACAAGGCATGCGATGAAGCTGCCTATTGCAGAAATTGCAGACCTTTTCCCGAAAGACCACAACTCCTACTTCGGATCGTCATGACCACTGCGTTGGCATGATCTCCTGACGAATACGACGTGAATCAGCATGAGGATGATAGCCATGATGGTGCTGATACGATGCGGCCACTGCTTTTCTTTCACTATCACTGTGAATATAGGTCTGTTTGATATATCTGCGTATTGCATTGTGTTGGATGATCTCCGTGACAACACCACCAGTCCCCCTGTCATGCTGTGAAGCTAACAGCTGCTTCTTGAATTAAACTCTCTGTATAGTGTTTGTTTGTTTGTTTGTCGCCAGCTTTCGTGTGATGACTCTAGTGGTGTTTATGCAGATTTAAACGGGTTATCCATATGACTAGTCAGCGTCCGATGATGCCAACAGTAGCAGCTGCATGCCAGAAAGGTCGGCGTCGTCCATCGTCGATGCTGTTGCTGCTGTCAAGCTTTCGTCAACCCCAACCCACAAGCTAACGCAGATCGGTGAGTCACTTAGAACAGCGCTGGACGGATGCCCACCGCTCCTGCGACAATAAGTTTGACTGCCTCAACTGCAAGGACGTGATTTAATCCCACATCCCTCAATGTCTGTGTCGGGTCGCCGATCACTTCTTCGCAAAGCCCTTCAGGGCGCGCATTGTCTGAAGGAATCGGGTACCTATGAAAGGCCAGGCTGCTGGCTTTAGGTGAATCGGTTCTTGCTGTGACTTCGGATCATCTACGTAGTCGAATGGAAGGAAAGAAATTGGAGAACATCATGCACAGCGGCTTGAAGAGCTCTTCTGCCTAGCCCTGGCTTCTGAAGCCTTCGTTTTTGGGGGTGCGCATCTGACAAGCAAGCGTCAAACACATCTTGCTGTGACGCCCATGTTTTGCAGACCTCCACTTGTGCGTGATGCTGTTGGTCACCTGTTGAATCAACCCCTGCTCTTCACAAGGACTTTAACCTGACGATCATAGCAATGTGGATCCTATTGTTCGGGCCATTCACGCAGGAGTTGTTGCGGCCAAGTGGCTGTTCTGCCGTGTCGACGAGGTTCACCCCTGAGCCCAGCACAGCACGGTCGAGGAAAGCCAGGCATTGCGCCTCCTTGGTACACATATCTTCTCTTGCGGTACTATAATAGCTTTTGAGACAAGATCGCAAGAATTAACAAGTTTCTTGTAGCAAAGAACTCAGAAATTGGCAGCAAAGGGAGAAGGCTGGAAACCCGGATCTTCTTGTGAAATTCGGCTCAGGCACATCTGGTGCGTTGAAGTCCGCGGAGACCCAGCGCTGCGTCCCCAGCGCCAACTGCAAGGTGGCTAGATTATAGAACTGGGCATCCTCTATAACTTTCCCACTGAAGATAGGAAAAGCGCTAATTAAGCAGATTGGGAGACCCCACCCCGCAAGAATTCCGGCGATCTTTGGCTCGAGGTGCTTTTTTTACTACCAAATTTTCTCCCAGATCGGACATGGCAAGGCCGGGGCTTCAATTTTTTGGGCCAGGAGCGAAAAGCCACGGCCTGTGTTGCGCTCAGAAGTGAGAGTGAGCTTGCTGAGAACATCTAGGATCTACAACATTTGTAGTGCAGCACTCGCTGCTCTTTACAGGCTCGTGTTGACTCGTGTTGAAACGGTAAGGGTAGCCCTCGGCATTGAGCCTCCGAGACGACCAGGTCGGAATTTCCCAGACGCTTCTGCCGAATGCCATCCACGGTCTGCACCACCTCGCGTCTGAATCATGACTTGACTGACTGCTCTCAAACCCTGACAGGCCCACTTTTTCAGGGTTGAGCTGTGTCATCGGTGGAGTTGCAGAACCTCCCCTGCCAAAAGAGCGGCACCACCAGAGTCATGTGTGAGTCTACACCTGGCACCCCGGGGCATCTGGGGAAACGAACATCAACAACTACCAACACACATCGGACGTGGAACTCAAAGCTGCCTCGTTGGTCGGCTGAGGCGGCTTCGGCGTCTTCGAAGTCCTTGCCAAGACCGGAGCCTTTCAGGGAACGCCGAAGCTCTTTGGTCACCCACACAAGTCTTTGGCTTACGAAGAGATCGCCTGCTGGGCTACCGCCGCAGCACCGGCAGCTCCCAGGAGTCGCCGTCTCGCAGTGGTGGTGGCACTCTGAGACGTGCTTGAGACCTGTGAGGGGCGCGGCCCGCAGTTGTGATCGCGAGATGCAAAGCAAAACTACTGAACTGTCCGTGCTTGAGTTCTGCCCATGAATTTCGCACCGTCATTGCAGAATGATCAGGCCTCTCCCTCTGCTCCACGCACGGCGCGTGCTGCAGCAGCATGCCGGCGTTGCACTGCAACCTTTGCGAGTAGATGGGAGTAGGTCTAAACATGACAATTTCTTCGTTAGAGTCTTGTCAGGTCGTTGTGGCTCGTCTTCCGTCGGGAAGACCTAGACCTGTGCCTATACTGGGTCTTGACCTTGACCTGAAAACTCAATTGAATCTTATTCATGGGCTGTAAGGCCAGGGGAATGAACATCTTCGTTGGGGTTGTCATGGAAACAAAAGATCTTTTTTCGCCCGGAAGCCCAGCCCCCTATAGCCACGAGGGCCAGCGCTGCTCTGGGTTTCGTCGCATCTGCAGCCGGGCCTGCGCCACAGGCACGTGCTAGTTTTTGGCGGTTTCTCTGCTTGGCCAACCCTTGCGTGATTCCATGTTACCACCCCAGTCGTCAGCACTGCTTTTGCCGTAGATGTCAAACGGTACCATTACAACTATGTCGATTGCTGGAACTGATCTCGACGCCACCATGACCAGAACCACCACTGCTACTAGTTCTGTCTGTCGTCGTCGCCGTCATCGTCGTACGAGCAGGCAGCAAGCAGGCAGGCGGCAGCAGCAGCATAATTGGTATAATAATAATATTAATAATAACAATAATAATAATATAGTAGTAGTGGTCGTCGTCTGTAGTGGTAGTGGTAGTGGCAGGGGCAGTGGAATTGGTACCAGTAGTGTTGTTGTCGCGCTTACTGATGATCCGCACCTCCGCGGAAGGCCAGCAAAGCTCTGAACCCTTTGCCATGTCGGGCCTTGTCGGGCACTTCGCTGGGTGCTGGCCACACCGGGCGCCGCGGCTGGAGCGGGACGAACAGGAAGCACTTGCAGCGCTGCCATGTTGCAGCAAAGTTGACACTGTGTGGTGGTGGTGGTGTGAAGTTTTATCTGCTTTGGAAGGCTTTGAAGGGTGGGCAAGGCAACATGCTCGTGATGCGGATGCTAAGACTGTCCAGAACGACTTCGGGCTGGCCTGACTTGAGCCTCAGCTCGCGACAAGAAAGGTGGGGCCCAGACACAAGAAAGCCTTGCCGCCTCGCAAGGGTTGTGGACCTACCCAGTACGGCCGCCTTGCCATTTCCGCTTTTCCACATCCGCCTCCCGAGGCTTTGTCTCGCCTGCACCAGCAGAACAGAGTCCAAAGTATGACAGTCCAGCTGAATGCTGCAGCTCCCGATGCAATGGGCTCAGCACGATGCCGATATGACATTCAACTGTTGAAATCTTGCCGCAAAGCTGGCGCAATGAGACCGTTCACAAGAGCCTGTGTGGCAGTGGACGAGGTGGTCTGCAGTCCTCAGTGGTTTGGACACAACCATGCCTGAGGCTCGCAATTGTCAATCCGACTACGACGAGCAGGCTCGCGTTGACTTGTATTTCGTGTTCAAACTGCCACATGTTCCTGTTTACTTCTGGAAAGATGTAGCAATGGCTTCGGGGGGGCAGATGCCTGAAACCGTCGCAGGAAAGACGGTAACAGTGACAAGCAAACCAGCTACCACTCCTCACTTGGATGAAACGACAATATAATCGTTGTTGGATAGACCGGGACGGCAGATCGACTGCTTTCTGGGCCTTCGGAAGCAGAGTCAGACTTAATCCGTGCTCCAACTTTCTTGACTTCAACGTGTTTATTGTATACCCTGGCTACTACCACTGTTCTTCTTATTGACGTATTGTCTTGATGAAGGTCATGGCCTTGAACATGGTTCGTGCCATTGATTTGTTTTGCCTGGTTTTACTTTCTGTTCATGACAGTCGCATAGTGACTGGCTCGGCCGTTGCCCGTACTACTATCATGCTGACGATAGCAACGGTCAATATCCTCGGGCGTCTAAACTGACAGGGTGCCACTTGGGGTACGTTGCTATGGCTATCTACTCTCATGCTATTTTTGCTACTTCTCTCGGGAGTTTCCTAAGCCTTCGGAGCTTACAGGGTATGGCCGGCGCGAGAAGCCCACCCCATCATCAAATTGCATAGGGTTTAGGATTCGAGGAGCCCGGCGAGGCTTCCAGGTTTTGCCCAACAGATTCTGGGCCGAAAGCTTCAACCAGAACTATACGAAGCATCTAGAAGCTCCCTGGGCTCCGAGCCACCAGGCACGCCCACGTAAACGTAGGACTGCTGGGCGCCCTGTGGACTGGGACAGATTTCCAAGCCTTCGGATTTCAGGGCTTGCCGGAGCCATTTTTACTCTCTCGCACTCTCGGATAGGCCTCTTTAAATTGAGGAGCCCGAGACAGGCGCAGTGCTTCCACTTTGGGACTGCAGAACCAGGAATCTTCAACACACCATGAACCCCCGCCCGCAATCATGGTCATGCTTGGAGCACACAATCACTGTTCGTTACTTTCAGAAAGCCTGGGTCCTTTTGCGCCCTAGTCGAAGAGCATTTCAAATCGAAGTTAAGCAGATTCCCCACTGTGCGTGGACTCATGCCCGGGCCCCTGTTCAAGGAGCCGTGTACGACCTTGGAGCCTCCGCAACTCGAAATGGAAAGGAAAAGGGTAGCTGCCAGGCTGAGCAGGAAAGGCAACACTGGGAGCAGAGTCACCTTACTGGTCACTCGCATGCTGAAGGCAAGCGATGCTCCAACCAGGCTCATCAAGAAGAGCTTGCAAGAGACCAAAATGGCCACCAGCTGTGTCCCGGAGCGGAAGCACTTGTACTTCTGCGTCCACACGCCCACGTTCAAAAGCTTTTCCAAAGTGGGCGTGCTGATGCGGAAGTACAAGTGCTTCCAAAGCTCCAGCACCGCCCTCACGGCCAAGACGGCGGAGATGGAGACGATGGCGCAATCCATCAGCTGCCGCAGGGTCCAAGCAAAGAGCTCGTAACTCCCAAGCCCAGACCGGAACTTCCAGGACAGGATTACATTGGAGATGTAGGGCAAACCGCAGGCACATCGTGTAGCTTGCTTTGCACCTTCATGTTGAAGGCGTCCAAATAATCTACCTTGGCACTATCGTTGCCTCCTCGGTTGTACCATTTCAGCAAGGAGCTGAAAACCACAGTGCCTCCGCGAGCGCAGCACGAAGCCCGCAAGGCCTAGGATTCCCTTTTCTTGAAATCGTCATGCTGGGCGATGCACAGCTTGCCCAAGAAAGCCATACCGGGATCGGCGGAATGGCGATTGGAGCTGCTGCCAGACCATGATGACAACACCAAAGACGAGATGGCCCGTCAAAGACGTCCATGTCTCGTCTGGCAGGCCCCCCCTCCCCGCCCGCCCTAACACTGGCGGCCGGTGTGGACCAAAAGGCCGCATCTGAGAGTTGTAAAGAATGAGGGAACAGGGAACTTCAGCGAGCGCCTCGAGGCCCAATCGCCGCTAAGAAAGTCGTCGAGACCGGGTGTTGGCGGGCCAAGACTATATTTCTTTGGGTCCACGTGGAGCCTTCCGCTGTCAGGTGTCTTCCAGTGTTTGCCACTGGAAGCGGTTCTGGAATTCTGGAGCAAAGCTCAACTGTTTTGTTCCAGCCTTCAGTGAGTGCTGAATATGGTTCGAGGCCGGGGTCTGGAGGGTTGGAGCGCTTCCAGCAGATTGGATCATTCCCGTCTTGAATGTTGACTGTTGGCTCGTCTGCGTGTGTGTGGCAACCGAGAAGCTCGAGCCTTCGGTTGAGACATGACTTCGCTTGAGCCTCTAAGCCCTTCTCGACCTTTTTATATATTCTTTATTTCAACCCAAAACTGACAAGCGATCGTCGAAAACTTGCAAATCCGAACCTCTTTGACCCAAACCCGGAGCCTGCACTGGCGTCGGGACACGCGGTGAGAGCCGAAGCCCTGGGATGAAGTTTGGGATGGTTTCTCAGGGCTTCACCGGCCAGGACCCACGGGCTCATATCTCTGTCATTGTGGGCCCCTGACATCCTGAGATTGGGATTGACATTGGGCAGCCTTGGCTTCAGGGCTTCAGGCTCCAAGGAGACCGAATCTCCCACATTCCGCATCGCCCAACGGACTTTCGGAAAATACCTATATGAATAATACTGTTAATATAATATTTAAAAAAAACATTAATATTTATATACATAATAATGGGCCCTCCCGGGTTTGCCCCCGCCTTCACCTCGATTCCCAGCTTCTGGCGCTGGCGCCTGGGTCAAAAAGGCTTCCGGATGCGCTTTCGCGAGGTCCGGCGATGTTTCTCTCAGGGCTCCAAGACTATCAGCGTAGGTACAGTAAAGCAGATGTGGGCGAGAGCTTCTACATCATGCTTCCTGCTCTTTACCAGAGGCCCTCTCAGAGGATTCTCGTTGCTCCGGGTAGTCGACGATTGTTGAAGGTGAATGGATGCCTCCTACCGCAGTCTAGGATGCACTAATGGTGCACTTGTCGACGCAGGAGGATCGCTGGATCGCTCGGAAAACTTTCACGCAAGCTGGTCTTGGCTACCTTCTCACGTCTTCCGACATCCAAGCAGCCTGTGGCAGCCCCAATATGCTTCGGCTCAGCTCTTTGCACTTGAAAGTCAGGCCCGCGCATTGTGTACTCGTTCACCTGAGCGAAGGATTGCTGCTTGAAACTCCCGGGTCACGCCTGTGCTCTCGTAACTCGGACTCAACCAAACGAGGTCTCTCGGTTCGCGTTCGCACCACAAGGCAGAGTTCGTGTTCAGGTGTTGCCTCCAACTCCAACACTGATAAACAACACACCAATCGTGTAAGCAATGGAAAACAGACATCCCCTGAACTCCCCTCGAGAGTTTATGTGGGGCGGGGCTCCATGTAGCTAGCATTATGACCTTGGGGGCTACGCCCGTACTAGGACCGAGCGTTGGGCAGGCATGCTGTGTGAGTGTGTGCACCCATACATGTGCGGCTCCAGCGTTAAACAGGGTGACCGAGACGGTTTCTGAAAACAAGAGCTTATACACAAGAGTAACAAGAGGACCAGCGCCGCACCCCAAAAACGACTCCGTGCGCCCAACAGGCTTGGGAGGTGGAGTATGTTTGATCATTCCCCATGTACAGACTCGAGACACACATCAGTGGCATCTCAACATGTCAAAACCAGCCATTCCCCATGTAGATGCTCGATTCCAGATGGAACAATCGGATCGTTCACAAACACAAACAGAAGTGACTGTTTGAAGTGCAGTTCCCGAGTGCGGACGCTCATCGATGCATATTTAGAATTTCAACCCAGCGATGCGCGACAAAGCGATCATTAGCATCAACAGAAGGCAGCCTACCCTCACAACCTTCAGGGACTTAGGGTGCCATACGGCACATGTTGGGTCGCAGGCCAAGATAGCAGTTGACAGGTTAGGATGGTTGCGCTTCCCTGCCACTAGATGCTGATTTGTAAAGCAAGGATCCATGCGACTTCAAGGGGCTGGTTCGGAATGGCTTACGAAAACAGGAAACCCGAGTGTGACCCTGCATAAACAAGCATGCAAGATGTTATTACGGCAGCGGGTTACATGGGTTGACAATACCTTTCCGCCTGTGGCTCCTGGGTGACTCTTGAACGATACGACTGTCGGCGGTGCGCAGCGACTTAAGGCTGGCACCCAGTACCACCCCTCCCCCTCCTCCTCCTCCGCTACCTACTCTTTGACAATACAACTCCTACTACTCCATGTAGTAGTAGTGGTAGTAGTAGTCGTCGTCGTCGTAGTAGTAGTAGTCGTAGTAGTGGTGACTACTGCTACTACTGCTACTACTGCTGCTACTGCTACTACTGCTACTACTACTACTACTACTCCTCCTCCTCCTCCTGCTGCTGCTGCTGCTGCTGCTAATGCTAATGCTACGAGTACTACTACTACGACTACTGGTGCCGCCTCGTCTACTGCGACCGTTGCTACCACCCCCACCCCTGCCCCCACCCCAGCTCGCCTCCCCGCATCGGCCGCTACCACAAAGGCTGTTGCTATGATGTACGGCAACTTTGAACAGGACGGGCAACAACCACAACAAAAACGATGCTGTGCAGTCGTGGTGGCAGTACATTTGTGCCGTCAGAAACACATAGACTTCTCTCTCACTCGCGATGATGACGACTAGGACGTTGATGATGGTGGTGATGGTGGTGATGATGATGATGCTGCTGCCGCTGCTGCTGCTGGTTGTGGCGATGGAAAGTAGGACAATGGTGATGAGGATGATGGTGACAATGTGCGTAGATGGCTCAGACGGCATAAGCTCCTACGAGCTTGCAAGCTGTTGTGCGGACAATGTCTTGTTTTCATTGCTAATCATGAGACCATGACGAGTGAACACTTCCAACTTTCCCAGTGGAGTCTTCCAGGTCTCGGACCCACTGCTCCGATCGTACACCGCACCGGGCCGGCCTGCGTGGCCTTCCAATGCGAGGGGCAGACTTCAAGGAAGCGCGGCAGCCCAGAAACGCTTGTTTACGCCTCCAAACCCCGGTCATCAATCTTCGCACCTGAAGCTCTACATATGTCCTCCAAGCTTGGCAGTTGGGCCCTCGCAACCACACGTCATGAGCTTTCCCCACACCGAAAACCCTCCAAACCAGGCTTGTCAGATCGCTCCCAAGGTTAGAGAATCCCCAACCCCGGCACATAAAACCGAGGCCAACGCATTGAACGCTGGCATGGCGGGGGCGGGAGTTAAGGCAACAGCCGGCGACGTGAACCTTCACGCTGAGGTACCGTTCCGATTATTGGGGGGAATCTTTACTGGCACCTAACCCCAGATCCCCGGGGGGAAGGGGCAGGGCTTCGGTCTTCTGTGTCCCACGTAGATAACCTGTCGGAAAAGGTCCTGCTTCTCCCCCTTCAGATCTCTTCAGAATATGCACTGGCTGCCTTTATCATCCCCTTGTTCTACACATTTGATCCGCTCCGTCTTCAATGCAAGCCTAGAGTGGGTTGCCCCCTCTCCCACGCGAAACTGAGCACCCCATTTTCCCGACCTCTCCGTCTCTTTCTTTCGGTGGGTCCATGGTCCAAGGGGTTGCCCCCACTGTGCAAGTGCTCCTGTGTCTCTGCGTCTCAGTCTGTCTATGTGTGTGTGTGTGTATGTATAGTGCATGTGTGCGTGTCTCTGTCTCTGTCTGCCCTACCTGCCTGCCTGTCTCTTTGCTTTGCTTTGCTCCGGGGTAGGACCACGAGCAGTCCTCGTGGCCCGTGCAGTTTGCGCACCCCATCCACCATTTTGTTGGATGGGCTCGGCTGTGCAGCGGAACTGAGGTCCGATCGTATGCCGGACTGTTTCGCCCCCGTGGGGGCAGGTGGCACACACACTGCCTGTCGCTCTCTCTCTCTCTCTCTCTCTCCCTCTCCTGGGCTTGGGGACGGGTCAACGTCCCCGGGCCGAGTGGCCCACCCAATGTTTTATTGGGTATGCGGGGATGTCGCTCTCTCTCTCTCTCTCTCTCTCGCGCTTTCCGCTCTCTCTGACTCTCTTTCTCTAGGTATCCGTCTCGATTTGTTCGTCGCTCGCTCTTTTTCTCTCCCCCTCTCTCTCCCGGGCATGAGCTGTTCAGGCTCCCCAGGCCTCAACCCCACCCAAAATATCTTCGGGTCGGGGGCGGGGGGAGGTGGAAAGAGAGAATTTTATGGTGTCGCTCATGCTGCAGCGCGGGCAAAACATACAAATTAATACAAATTCCCAGCACTTAAACCGCGCCATAGACCGTCAATCTCTGTGCTCACTGTTTCGTCATCGTATACTTACGCAACGATACATCATACTATACAACTCAATCGTGCAAACAGATGTGCAAATATGCATACGCAAAGGCAAATGAAGGTGAAGATGTGCAGGTGTATGTATGCTTATAGGCATCTCACGGCACATCTAAATTCAGATGTCAGTCATGTCTATCTGTCTGTCTCTATCTCTGTCTCTGTCTGTCTGTGTCTCTCTGTGTGTGTTTTTGTGTTTGTGTTCGTATGCAGCTGCATGGGTGCATGCGTGCGTGCATGCACTCATGGATCCCGCATGCATGCGTGTATGCATGCGGTATTCAACCAGCTGCATGTATGCATGCGTGCGCGCATGCATTCCATGGATGCATGCACGCATGCATGCGAGTATGTACGCATGGATGTCTGCATGCATGCATGACAAAAACATACCAGCAAATGACATTATGTTACACTACTCTGTGCTGCAGTACGCAAAATTTAGAATTACATAGTGAATAGGTCTATGTACACATATACGGCATACACATGCACCTACTGCGGCTCATTAAAGCCCAAGCCCCGTGAACGTATCACCTGACACCTCAGGTGCCCAAATCTTCGTTGCCGAACACTCTGAACTCTGAGCAGTCCAATCCGAGCTCGAGAACTCCGAATGCTCAAACCTTGGTGGCGTCAGAGCCTCTTAATCCCGAAGTAAGCATGCTACTACACCTTGGACGGCTCTTGCCCAGGCCCCGGCGATGTGTTCGCTTGAGGTGGCGTCCGCGCAGAAGGCAGCAGGATCGGCCTGCTCTGCGGTTCACTCTCTGCTTCGCTTCGACTGTAGGTTCCTTCTCGCTTAACCATGGGGCGGAGAGAATGCATCAGGATGTTACGATGGAGAGCTTGGCATGGCAAGAACACGTAGCAACCGGCTCGTTGCAGTGCTCACCTCCCTTGCAACCCGCTTGGCTCACCTCATAACATGGCAGTGGAGAACTATCATAGCTTTCACGATGCGTGCAGAGCGACTGGCATGCGCTCCAGGTGATGAAGGGCTGCGAGTTTTTATTCAACGGCCTGGCCCTCGCTATCGAGTACAGCATGACGTGCAGGCCCCCCTCCCTTGTGCCACCCCACCGAACTTGAAAAAACAGAAGTGTGGTCCCATGTCGAGAAGATAGGAAGGACCCCACAATGGACTGCAAAGATCTAGAATCTAGGGCTCAAATCCACAGCTCTGCTGCCTCGCGCCCGCCAGCTGGCCAGGCGGTTGCGGCGTGCCTGTTCCAGCCTGGCCACAGACTTGACTGTGCAATGCGTCCGTGCACGGTCATGGACACGAATGCCATCACCATCGCAGCACGAGAAATGCAACAGACGTGACAGTCAGACGTGTGCTACATCGCTAGTAGCCAAAATCCCAAGTATAATGACACAAAGGTACTCGAGGGTAAACATTTTTAATAGGCAGGTTCAATGGCAGCCAACCTGCAAGCTGCCCGTCCTCCTCAGTCAAAGCTCTTTCGCACAACTGGGGAGGATTTGCTTTTGGCTGTTGCTGGTATTCTACACATGATAGTCCCTCTTTTCCAGAGCAGGGAAGGCAAGAGCGCCTCAAGAACTCATCATGTCGGTCCTGTCTGACAAGTACATCGCGCACAAACTTGAACGCGAAACCTTCAAGACCCTTTTGTACCAAGGGCCGGCCCCAAGTTTGTTATTTGTCGGGCGCCTGCCTTGATCAGTCCTTTAGACTCCACACCAGAACCGCTTCAAGACTGAAGCCCCGAACTCACCACCGAAGACTCCATAACAGTTGAAGCCAACACTGAGCAATATCTGATTGTAACTTCAACAGCCCACATGAAGGGATAGAACCGTAAGACAAGCATCGAAAACCCCGACCGGTCCAAAACGAAGGGAGACAGGGGGAGACAAGCGGTCACCCCTGCGGTGGCAAAAGAAGTTAAACAAAGGGAGACAATGCCAGGTGAGCGGGGAAACCCTGTGCGTCGGCCACCTCCAGCGGTATGAAATGAAGGGAGACGGCGGGAAACACAAATTTTCTGGTGGTTATCAAGCGGTTTGGTCTCTGCTCGTCCAACTTTCCAGTCCTTTTCAGTTGGTTTGCTCCTCTTACTCGAACTCTCCTTTTGTCAAGTTTCCTGGTCTCTGTGACGGGTTTGCTCCTGTCGCACATATCTTATGGTCCTTTTCGACTGCGTTGCTTCTCTTTTTCAAGTTCTTCTCCCTATCAACTTGACTAGTCTAGTCTCTTTCGAGAGGTTTGCTCCTGTTCCTGAGATTTTCGAACTCGTTTCGACGTCTTCTCATGCGTTTCCTCATGTCTCGCTGGCTTTGAATGCGTTTCCCACCTCCTATGCGAGTTTCCAAATCTCGAAGAACGCCGCAGCAGCATTTCCAGCGCTGCATTCACTGTGAATGTGCTGAAGCTACGAGTACTCTCACTCCTGTCTCCAGAGCCACAGGTCTCCGACGATAACGCCAGCCAAGAACAAGGCAGTTGCTTCCTGACTAGGCCCTGCAGTTAAAACTAGTTAAAACCATCTTCTCTCCCCTGCCCTCCCCAACTCGGCTGCTAGCACAGGCAGAGACTTGGCGGCCGAGCTCACCTTGGCACGACGACCCAAGGCCCCAGGCAAAGAGAGGAAACCAACAGGAGGCACCCACAGTGACGCACACACGAGAGCCAACCTTCCTGAAGCGCCAAGTCCCAACTCCTCTGCGAGCGTGCAGCCATGGGTGGTGCCAACGGCGGCTGCGGCGTCGAAGAGGCGGAAGTCGACGCCTTGGTCTGAGCTGCGCTTTGGTCTTCTGATCACAGCTTCGGCCCGAGACGTGTTGAAGTAGACACCACCTCACCTTACGGCCCTCTTGAAAGTACTACAGCGCACAGGGAAGACAGGGGACCTATAAACAACCACACAGCCAGATCGAGAGCTGACTCTGCGTCTCAAACGAGATGCTCCGGAGACCCTGAAGGGATGCTAGGACAGGCAGTGACCTCTCTGTAGATCCACTGCACTCTTCACCACCTGACTCCCCCAAGCCACCCCAAAACTCTTGTGCCGATCCATCGGAGTCTTCAAGCCTGGCTCCAGCAACTTTTCGCGCAACGTATGCCACCGTGTCCTATGTGGAAGCGGCCGGAGATTCCAAGATCCGATGGACACCGACCCACTGCTGGGAGTCTGGGTTATGGCACCTCTTCTGCACGATTTCTTGGATGGCAGTGAATAAGTCTCTCTGTCTCTGTCTCTCCGCCTATGTCTCTGTATGTATGGATGCCTGCCGGCCTGCCTGTGCTGCCTGCCAAAATCGGCAGCATCAAAGAAACAGGACCTGCGTTATGACGGTATCCTTGTTCTCGGAATATCCAGAGCTGTAGATCAGGCAGACAGATCACATCGACCCAAAGGCCTGGCACAGCTGTGAAAGGCGAGCTCTTATCTTTCTTCGCGCATCAGAAGGCAGGAACGTGGAAAATATAGCTCCAGCTTCCAATGTTTCTCTTTGGCCACCCGCTGTGGGAGGCATCTGACACTCGCGTAGTTCCTGGAATCTGAGCGGTGTTTCCGATACCCTTTCGGCTTGTCGGACTTCAATGCATTGCTGTGTGGCTTTCTCCTGGCCGCCGTGCAGCTCCAAGGACATACATATCTATAAGCATACACAAACAAGCACACATACATATTCGTCATTGAGAAATGCCCCGTGCCTCAATACGGTGTATTCTGCACGAAGCCGTTGAGCGCACACTATCACAGTGAGGACATCAGGCTGCGAAATGTGCAACTGGCGACAATTCATGGAATCCCTCCCCAACCGGGTGCATCATAACGCACAGAAGCTCCCTCCAAAGACTTTAACCACGCGATGCTCCTTCCTTTGTTCCGACTTCGGGTCGGGGCAAGATAAACAGGGCCCTATGAAATAGCA